TATATATATATATATATATACGAACAGGTGATGTTAAAAGACCTTACCCACTCGGGATCGGGCAACCCAGTAACACAATAATACGTAGCACGGAACAAACGGAAACAGACACCCCCCTACCATGTTCCTGACTGCTTTTTGATACACTGTTCTCACCTTATCTTGATGAGGTCCAGAACTGGGTAGGAGTTGGTAGTCCCTCAACCTTAATATATAAACTCTCCTTCAAGCAGTATAATCAACAAGAACACTTTGTCTTTCCTCTTATCAATTGTCATTTGATTCGCTTCCAATGACTGATGTGCGCTGTTGATAGACTTATTTCTTGTCTATCGTCCACCTGAGTGAGTGACACTAATCGGTTGGCAGATCAGGAATCAAGTCCTATGAATCAGTAATTTCGCTGGTTGGTCAGTTAGTAAGGGGATGATTACCCTAAATACCGATTCGTGCTGTTTCTTTCCTTCAAACACGATCCGAGTGCATCTGTTCGGTTGACCAAGTTGAATACCGCTCGGTAAATTCCCTCTTTCGAAATGAATCTTTTTACCACCTTAATCGACCAGAAGCTATGGAAGTTCTGGTGACGATTGCCTATTTGAAAATACTTCATGACGGGATTCCAGTACGTGGAACTTACTACTGAAAATTGTCTACCAGTTTGGTTTTTCTTAGAACCATTCAATTATGTACCGTATGTGCATTCCTTGGGCTTGTAAAGAGTCGAACCCGAGCATGTGTACCTGCGAATTCCACATATGAATACCAGTCCTTGGTTTATCTCACGTTAGTGCCACATTATTCGTACCTACTTCTGGACTGTTGCTGATTTATTGTCGCTCCCGCGTGATTGTCCAGTTGAAATTTGTTTTGCTTTGTTCGTCAGAATGCTCAGATCTGTATGTTATAAACATTTGTAACTCTTTAATAAATTGCGGTAAAAATTCATTTCTTCACAAAGCAGTTATTCAGTATCCACTGCGAAACTGATGTAATATGTGCTGTATTCTCACTGTGCTCTCTCTCTATTTACCCGATTTCACGATTACTGTCGTTGCGACTCCACACTAATATGATTATTGCCCCGGTTTCAGAATGAAGTGGCACGACACAACAAACGTCTTGTGCTGTTCTCCATCGTCTTCCTCGGGGCCAACGGACTGTTTGTCCCCAAGCTCGGTGTACACGGTTTTGTCTTGGCCAATTGTATCAACATGATCAGTCGCATTAGTTATAGGTGAGTTGTCTCACGTGATGCGTTCAGCCATTTCCTTGCATTGCTGTCCGTGCCCATCGTATTCTTCTTTTTACATTCAACAAATTGCGGGTAACACTGTGTTTTACTGTTTTATGTGCTACATGCGAATAGTATTCATTTTTCATTCGCAATATGGCGCAAATAGGTGAAGCGAACTTGGATCCTTCGATCCTAATATGCTTCACTAGATAAACCGATCTTCCAATCACATTGTCTATGGACGTGCTAGTGAACTATTAGAGGAAGTGTTGAAATTTTGAACGCCGCTTTCTATGCTGCATTGCACGAGTGTGGTAGGACAACCGGACTAACAAAGTTGAGGTTGAGCGTAGATTTTAGGTAACCGCGGTCGCCCACTTTCTCATTCTTACTTCGAGGCAGGTAGTGGCTGGAAAAAACTCAAAGTTGGTCCAACTTAGACCTGGCATGAAGGTATGAAAATATTAACGAGGAGACTCGCTCATATAGTTCCCCTTAGGCATCCCTGGAATCAGCGTAACGATGGCTAGTTACATTATGTGATATGGTTGAATGTCGTAAACAGTGACGCTCGTGGATCTGCTCCATCTTTTCGCAACCGTAGTCTACCGGATTTCTCTATTTTTTCTTGATGCCGCCTTCAACATTTCAATCTTTCCTTTATCCCTTCATTCAAATGAATAACAAAAAGACAGCTACCAGAGCCAAACCACGAAGGTACCTGGTTAGTGGTTGTTTAAACTTAATCCGAAACTTGGATACAACTTCATTCTGGTGATATATTGTTCTAAGGAGAAATTTGAATCTCAGAAACAAGCCCGTTATCACAACTGCAATCAGTTTACAAAACACGACGACTTTTTCACTCTCGCAATCTGATTTGTTTGCTCCTGTTTCAGTTGTTGGTTTATTCGACACTATCTGCAACGTCAAAAGAACATTGCCTTGAAAGACCAGGAACCAACCACATCGGATGCAACAACGGAAGCATCTCACTGGCTTACCACCGCAGTACCTCTATTACGTCTCATGTTGCCCTCATTGAAAGAGATGATCGTCTTCGCTCTCAGCTTGGCCATCACAGTGGCGTCTGAGGTAGGTTCGGTGGGATCGGATCATGTGAAATCAAATTCCATCCTTTTTCATATGATCAAATTCTATTGTGTAATCAAGGAATCGACATTTTTTAGTCCCAGGGTTCAATCAGTTCATCATGACTGTTCATTAGTCAAAGCTACATCGCTTGTTATCGTGTTTTCAGTTTGGTTCGGCTCAGCAGTATTTTGGGTTTGGGTTGCCTTTTGTGGCAGTTCAGTCAAGGATGACTGAGTGCGGCCTGGATATAATTGTACTAGAATGAAATCTGAATGTATGATTTTGCAATAGAATCAATCAAACAAGTACAGGTGAGCTCAAAAACCGTGAACACTGTTTAGCGCCTAGGTATACCATCTTCCTCAAGGTCTCAAACAAAAGAAACCAACGTGACTCTCTTGGTTCAATTCATCTGTCAGATATTTTACACCCTTCAGTTATATGGCCATGTTATCAACTTATCCTCTCACTCACTCGCTTCGGCATCATCTACCCGTTATGGTTAGTATATTATTGTTGTTACTAATATTATCAATTATTATTTTTAATACCACTACTATTATTCTTGTTGTTCAATCGCAAAGTTGAACAATAATGCAATACATAACGTAAAATGCTTGATGATGTAGTGTTCATGTTCGTTCTGGTGTGCAAGACAATAATATGATCTTTTGTGCTGTTCAATTATCCAGGTCGCAATAGGAGCTTGAATTGAAGGATCTCACTCCAAGATTTTGCCAGGAGAATGGAAGCAATTGTTAGGGATCCTGTATGCTACGGCTGAGTGTTGTAAACAGAAGCGCTCATGCATCTACCCATTTTCCTTTTGGTCTTATTCAACACGAATTCTCGGTTTTCACTCTGACGATGATTCGGACTTTTCAATCTTCCTTCGGCCTCTTTATCCAAATGGGCAACCAAAACCGCCTCACAAGGGTGCATCGGTAGTACGCTCAAACTGAAGTGAAAGTGATATCTTGTCAGTCGGATCATACACCCTTCGTACAACCAGGGCGTCTAAGCGATCTAGTGTCTCCGTACATAGATCTAGTAATCCTGGGGGCAATTTAGTCGCTTTATTACGGGTGGTTTGAAGTCGGAACTTGCCAACTCCATAAGCTGTTGGTGGCTCATCATTCCGACTACAACCCCGGGAGATCGTCTTTTTTGCCCGTTCTATTTATTGACTCACCCTCACTTTGAGAAGACTGAAACTAGGACAGCCATCAAGGCTGTGAATACAGCTCGTGAACGATCATGTTAGCGAGAAATTCATTCCGAATGTACTGAGGTGGTGTGAACAGTGAGCATTATTTTCTCTCTCCGTGTTTGGCAAGACATATTCTTCGCCAACTAGTGCACTCTTCCCTCTTTGGAAACTGTCTACTCGTATAGGCTCCTCATTTACCGGGTCAGTCTGGACGAGGCCTAGTGACCAGAAATGTTCGTTGAATTAGAGAATCCAATAATATGGCATAACCGTCTAGGATCAAATACCTTATTCTTCATATGTTCTGTACTGTGATATGTTTTGTTTGTCCAGAAGAAGATACACTTGTTTAACTACCTGTTCGTCAATCATTCTTCCACCGCATAACTATGCTACATACGTGTCCTCATGTAAGATTGTATGCAATACTCAGGTCGGCATACATGCTGATGTTTACTAATCCACGTTCTCTCTCTCTCCGTATCCCGTTCCCCTTGCCCTCTTTCTATCGGATTCTCACTTACAGAAACATTTCTGTTGTATGTTGGGATGGAAATTGATACTCATTCACACGGGCATCACATCGTTCACCCTACTCAGTGTCTTGTTCCTGTTGCATCTGGAAGAGTCCGATTTATGGGACTTGTTCCAAACGGGTCTGGGAAAGACTAAAAGTGAATGATCAGTTCGTTTGCCCAGACTGTGCAATGCATTCTCCGGTCGCTCTTATCTTTATATTCGGACAACAGAACTGCCAAATCCTTTTGTGGAGTCGGCTTCCCTCACTTTTCTCATATTCTATTTGAGAACAATACCAACCGTACGCAATGTGAATAATCAAATCACGCATTCTTCGCTCACTCCCCCCCCCTCCACAGTCATGGTTATCATGTGACTGGATAGATATTTCAGTTTATTTTCCTATATAAATTCACCCTGTATTTGTTTTACCTGCGCCCATGCACACACAAATCTGGGCGGATTACGCCTTTGTGTTGTTCATACGAATGACAATTTCTGTGCCAATTTTGTTTTACTGAAATACACACTGAACCCGTGAGCGATTCATCTAATTTATTCTGTCTACTTGGGGTTAGTTAATAGACAACCGTGCTCACTGACAATTTTGGATAGTTCCGGAAGCACTGATCTTTGGGGTTATTGCGGGATTTCAGGTCTCGAATGCCTGTATCTTATGGTTAGTGATTCAAAATTTATATGCGGTGTGGGTATAAAATTACGTTGGAGTATTTGGCCTAGGTTCGATTTAATGAATGCAAGATCATAGGAGGTTGAAATACGGTAATTGAGCCACCACTCAGTTGCACTAAATACGTTCAGGGGACTATAATGCAATTTAGACGGTGAATGTTTTCGCAGTCACCAGGCTATGTTGATGAACACAAACATTTCCATCGCATTTAGATGCATTCAACTAGTGGATTATTAATGATTTTTCTAGGAGTGAAAATAACATCTAACATTATAAACAGTGCCTGGTACCTGTGAACAACCGAATAGGCTAATCCAAACATTCACCGTCTAAATTGATTCAGCCATTCTCACAAGGTGATGGCCAGTCGACTATGTAGCTCAGGGGTAAGGGTTTGAAATCCCAACTCGAAGGTTCGCGGTTTGAGTCCTGACAGAGACACGAAAAGTTGGCGAGTCCCAAACAGGACGAAAGAGCTGTTCAGTGTTCTTTGTCGATTGTCCCAAACATTTCCATTACGTTCATAGAGACCAGAGTGCAAAGTTATTCGGTTGTATTCAGGATCGTTTTGAGGTTTCGTTCAGGGGGAACGTGGGGTGGGGGGGGGAGCGGGGGGCATTTGTCGTATTACGTATTGTTACTACAACGTATACCCAATCTAGAACAATTTGAGTTGCCAATAGTTGCACTACGTGGGTTTGATTCGGTCAAGTCTTTTGCTCGCCTGATACAGTCTTTTTGTGGTTCGGTTCTGGAGCTCCTTTTTGGCAAACAATTTAATCAGCTGTTGGAATAAAGATTAATAGGAAGCAAAAATAGTAGGATGAGTGTGTTTATACACGTTTTTCAAACGAATGTATGGATTAGAAGGCTTTTGGCGGAATAAAATGTAGATAAAATATGGTGGCGTAAGGACCTTTCTATCACACCCATTCTTCTTTGTGACCCGTTATGCACAGAGGAGTAGAGTACGGAACGAATTGAGCCGTAAACTAGGAATGAAATGTGTGTCATTGAACCGGTCGGTGACGGAACTGTCTACTAAATGCGTCGGTATTGGACCTCGATTTCCATCAACGGAAAGCAATGTAACCGCTTAGGGAGAAAAGTTTCTTTGCTATTATGCATGATTTCGCTCAGAACG